CACTGGGAGAAGAGCTTAAGTCTCTGATCCAGGTTTTATTGAGGGCCTTGTCCAAACTCAGGGCTCCTGTATTATGAAGGTTCAAAGCCAGAGACCCAACTGCTGTGAAATAATGGATCAGTGGATATTAGCCCGCCACAGACTCAGCATTTGTGTAATCCCAGCAATTCTCTGGAGATCCCCTTGCAGCCAGCCTGTCTACCCTCCCGAGGCTTGCCAGTCAGTCCTGCTGCAGGGCTGCCTGGCCAGAGCTTCCTCTGCTTGTCTGCCACCCATTTGTCCTGGGTCTTTCCTCAGGGGGGAAAGAGAAGCATGCAAAAGGGTATTTCTGCAGAGATTTCCACTGCCTGCAGACCTGCCTCTGGATCTGTGGGCTCGAGAGCCTGCGGGTTACTGTGGCTATTGTGGAGGGGAGGAGTGGTGTGATGGGCAGGGGGTGTATATAGGAGCAAAATTGACTCTCCCATCCCATAGAAATTATGACTCTTTGAGACTCTGGGCTTAGGGTTGGTGTTTCCAACCTCTTTGCTGCTGTGTCTTTTGGTGGTGGAGGGGCCAGGTAGTCAGCCCCCGAGCCATCATGGTCAGGGTATATGTGTGCTGGTGGACTCATGAGGGCCTGACATCCAAGGAAGCCAGGGTGGTTTGGTGGGTCTTCTAGAAACTGTGAGAACTTGGGCAAGTTGGCGCTGTGGCTTTCGGTGGTTGGTCATCTCTCTCCTGTTAGCATCAGGGAAAGGCTGCACTTGCCTTAACCGCAGGATTTGCCTGGTGATTAGACCAGATTCTGGTGCCTCTCCTGGAAACCCCACGAAGGCTGCTCGCAGGTGCAGTGCACAGGCCCGGGAGCAAGTGAGGCATGAAATGGGGAAGTGGAGTCCTCGCCTCGGCCTTTCCGGAGAGGCGTTCTCTGCTTGCCCCCTGTCAATGCCTAATCTCCAGTAATCATGCCGTAGCTTCTAGACTGGTCTTGCTGCCCTCAGTTGGCAAGTAGGGCACAAATTCCTCCTTGACTTGCAAAACATAATTCTCATTTAAAACCTCAAGAGCTTCCCATGGCCTAAATAAAAAAGATAAAGTCTTGATTATTTTAGCAAAGTTCCCAGCCTCCCTTTCCTGCCACATGTTTTGGTCCACATCCACCTTCTTGTCTTAGTCTGGCTTCCCCAATCTGTATTTCTGTAGTTCCTTGAACGCTATCTTTTCCTCACAGACTTTACAAATGCTGCTCGCTCGTCTCAGAATATTCTTCTCATACCTCCCAACTAAACTTGGCTAGCTTCCTCGAGGCCCTCTCTTAATTTTCTACGATTGGGTTCGTGTTTCCACCTCTACTTCTCTGTACGTGCTGGGCTGAGGAGCTCCTTTCTCCTCCTTCCCTTTTAGGTAGCTGTCCACGCTAAAGAGCTCATCACCCCATAAAAATACAATTGCCTGTTTAACTTGGAACTTCTCAAAAGCAGGGCTTGTGTCTTTTCTTTTTGTGTATTCCTATTGCTAAGCAAAAAGTATATACCCAATAAATGACCAGAATGAAAAAGAGGGAGAAACAGCCCTCTGGTCCTCTCTCCTCTGTGGAGCAGGCTTTTCTCTCTCTCTCTCTCTCTTTTTTTTTTTTGATAATTTAATTGAGATATAATTACATATCATACAATATACCTATTTAAAGTATATAATTCAGTAACTTTGAGTATATTCAGAATTGAGCGTCTATCACCATGATCAATTTTAGAATATCTTTATTAAGCCAAAAAATTCCCCTACACTACTTAGCTATCAATTAATTCCTCCATTCTCTCCTGCCCTAGTAGCTACAATTCTACATTCTGTCTCTATGGATTTGCCTGTTCTGGACATTTCATATAAGTGCAATCTTATCTGTGGTCCTTTGTGACTGACATCTTTCACTTAGCATGATGTTTTCAAGGTTCACCCAATTTACAGCATGTAGCAGTACTTCATTATTTTTATTGCAGAATAATGTTGAATTTGTATGGATATACCACATTTTATTTGTCCATTTATCAGTTAATGGCCATTTGGGTTGTTTCCACTTTTTAGCTATCTTGGACAGTGCTGCTGTGAACTTTGTTTGAAAGTTTTTGTGTGGACATGTTTTCATTTCTCTTGAGTATATACCTGGGAGTAGAGTTGCTGGATCACGTGGTGACTCTTTTGTTTATTCATATGAGGAACTCCAGACTGTCTTCCAAGATGGCAACACCATTTTTTATTCCCACCAGCAGTGTATGAGGATTCTGTTTTGAGTGGACATATTACTTGCTCTTATGTTTAGCGTAAATGGGGGCTCTCGAAAAAGGTTTTAATGCCCTGGAGAGCCGTCTGACACTTCTTGAGACATTTGTCCCTGCCACCCAGATCTGCCTGAAAGGCAGTGGGTTTGCTGCATGAAGTGTCTGAAGACCGTAGACTCTGCCAGGCCTCCCACCTCGCGTGTCCTCACTCTTCTCCAGGCCAGCATGCTGTACAGGCCCAGACTCCTGTCCTCTCTGGACTGATGGGTGTTGGCTTCTCTTGATTGATACACCCACTTGTCAGTCACCTCACACATGGCGGAAGGGGTAGAACAGGTCTACTTCTTGGGTTTCTCCTCCAGAGTGCCACTGGTCCTGGGGTTGGCACCAGCGGTGCCCGTTCATGGTTCCATATTTCTAGTTCCTGCAAGAGGAAAATGCTTAGGGTAGTCTCAGTCAGGTATCCGCTTAGATCAAACAGTCATGGCCAACAGGCCAGGTCCTGTGGTTCAGACAAGGCCACCAACAGCCTGCGCCTGTCACTGGGGAGCGGACCAAGAGAAGGGAACATTGGGCAGCGACTCTTAGGGGTCTGCTCCACAACTGGGAAAAGGCTTTGTTGGAACATTGCCTGTTCACTTGGAAACATGTTCAGTGGGGCTGAATTTTATCTCACAATGTTCAGAGAAAGCTAACTCTTTGAGAATCCTATGGGACTGGAGGAGGAAGACGGAAGCCTCCAGGTGCAGGCCTCTCCTGTTACCAGGAGGTTGAAAGGTGTGGGAGGGAGGAAGCAAATCAGATTTGGGGATGAAGGTTGTTAACAAGATTGTTGAGATTAAATGACTCACCATGCTTGTAAAATACTTCCCTGTACCGGGGTGTATCGGATCCCCTAGAGAATATTAGCAATGTGTTATTGTAATAATAGTAACGACAACAACTTCATAAGCAGTTCCTAAACTTGGGCCATTTTTTTTCTTGGTCTCGTGACTTACACAGAATTAGCTGAAGGCAGAATTCTAAATGGTCCTTAACTGGTGTGTGTGCCTGTGTGTGTGCTCACTTGTGTCCAACTCTCCGCGACCCCTTGGTGCCGCTCTTTTAACCGACAGAGCAGCGCGAGTAGATCCTGAGTGCCACGGGGTGCAGCCTTCTCCCTTCACCACGCGTGGTTAGAATGCTTTGTCACGGGCTGAGGAAAGGAGCCCTCACGTGAAATGTTTCATTTACTCTTCTGGGCCGCTCTTTCTGACTTCCTGGTACTTGTCTTCTCAAGCGGTCTGTTGCCCTGAGCCCCCCTCCTGACACTGGGGGCTGTGGCACCATCCGGGCACTCTGTGCTCACTTGGGCAGCCTGGTGGAGAGCCAATGTCCCCGCCCTGTCTTAGGGTCCTGGAGAGAAGCTATTCAGCACCCCACCTTGGAGACCATACAAATACTGCAGGCCCTCGTGGGGCACATTTTCCCCCAGAGTAGGGGGCCCTGATCTTGTTGATCTCGAGAAAGACTGGGAAGTGAGGATTCTAGAGGGCTCCAGTGCCGGCTGTGTCATTTACGTGGCCTTAGTTTCTTCATTGCAGTGGTGGGAGAATTCCAGTCAGGATGAGAGTACAGGTATTGAAGTGCTTGTGAATTAAGTGTAAGCGTGACTGTGTCGATGATGTTAACTGTCCTTACTAACCTCGGGTCTTGGTAACTGGTCAGAGCAGAGACCCATGAGAGGCCCCTTAGGTTGGAGTCTCCCCAAAGGGTTGCCATCTGCCATTGTATGTTGAAGCCCATCCATTTGTCTACTTATCCATCCATCCATCCATCCATCCATCTAGTGGTTATTTACTGAACTCTTATTATATGCCAGGCAGTGTTCCAGGCCTGTTTCCAGTGGGTGAAGAAAAAGCAAAAAAAAAAAGTTCCAACCTTCATTGAGCTTATGTTCTAATGGGGTGGGACTGAAAATACACAAGAGAAGTAAATAAAATATGAAGTACCTTTGTACCAACACACTTGATTCTTGTGGACCCCGTGGTTGGCATCCTGAAGCGGGTGTCCTCCTCTCTCATACATACTATATCTACTGTGCCCTGTAGCGCACTGGTCCCACCCAACACTGTGAGCGCTGGCAGGGCAGAGACTGACTTGAGTTTGCCTTATTTCCTGGTGTCTGGTTTAGTGACAAATACCTGGACACAATGTGATGATCAAATCATAGTCAACCACACAAAAGCAGGTAGAAGTGAAAAAGCCCCATTGTCACCAGTTTCCTGATATCCTTCCTGCAATTAGCCTATATGTACTATAAGAATAAATAACACATCTGTTTAAACACCTTTCACCTAACAATACTATCTCGATGATCGTTTCCTTTTAGAGCTTCCTTATTATTTTTTTTTAAACAGCTCTATTCCATTATATGAATGCATCATGGTTTATTTAAGCCATTTCCTGGTCATGCTTACATCATTGTTTGCAGCCATTTGCGTTGGTGAACATGTGGTGAACAGAGTGAATATGTTGTTCGTTCACCTGTCGTTTGCATACTTGGAGGTCCTACAGGATGACTCCTAGAAGTGGGATTGCTGGTTCAGGGAATGCTATTCAGGATTGAGTTGTAAAGTGAAGGTAGAAAATGAGGCCCAGGAATGGTCTAAGGGCCACGTGGAGCAGACAGGTCACCAGTCCCCGTGCGTGTTTGGCTGAAAGGCCTCGTGGCATCTAACGGCACTTTTTTTGTTTCTGCGCCAGGCTGGAGAGTCCATGTTCAACCGTGCGAAGCTCCTCAACGTCGGCTTTAAAGAGGCCTTGGAGGACTATGACTACAACTGCTTTGTGTTTAGTGACGTGGACCTCATCCCAATGAATGACCATAACACCTACAGGTGCTTTTCACAGCCACGGCACATTTCTGTAGCAATGGATAAGTTTGGATTTAGGTAAGAGATGTTTACCAGAATCTGCAGAAAGCATATTTGTGTCTTCCATGACAACCAGGGAACACAGTTCCTCCAGCCCAGGAATAGTGCCTCTTAGGCCCTGGAGGAGAATGCCTTTTGAGAGAACTGGGTGCTTTTGAAGCACATGTGTGTGGGTGCTGTGTTAAGGCTCTTCAGAGCGCATGTGTGCTGAGTGCTGTGCTAAGTCACTTCAGTCGTGTCTGACTCCTTGCACCCCTATGGACCGTAGCCCACCAGACCTCTCTGTCCGTGGGATTCTCCAGGCAAGAATCCTGGAGTGGCTTGTTATGCCCTCCTCCGGGGGATCTTCCTGGCCCAGTGATGGAACCTGTGTCTCTTCCGTCTCCTGCATTGGTAGGAGTTCTTGACCACTGGAGCCACCTGGGAAATCCTTTGAAGCTCATCACTTCAGTTCAGTTGCTCAGTCGTGTCCGACTCTTCGTGACCCCATGGACCACAGCACGCCAGGCCTCCCTGTCCACCACCAACTCCTGGAGTTTACTCAAACTCAAATTGAGTCAGTGATTCCATCCAACCATCTCATCCTCTGTCATCCCTTTCTCCTTCTGCCCTCAATCTTTCCCAGCATCAGAGTCTTTTCAAATGAATCATCTCTTCACATCAGGTGGCCAAAGTACTGGAGTTTCAGCTTCAATGTCAGTCCTTCCAATGAATACCCAGGACTGACCTCCTTTAGGATGGACTGGTTGGATATCCTTGCAGTCCAAGGGACTCTCAAGAGTCTTTTCCAATACCACAGTTCAAGAGCATCAATTCTTCAGCACTCAGCTTTTATAGTCCAGCTCTTCCATACATGACTATTGGAAAAACGATAACCTTGTCGAGACGGACCTTTGTTGGCAAAGTAGTGTCTCTGCTTTTTAATATGCTGTCTAGCTTGGTCATAACTTTCCTTCCAAGGAGTAAGCGTCTTTTAATTTGATGGCTGCAGTCACCACCTACAGTGATTTTGAAGCCCCAAAAAATAAAGTCTGCCACTATTTCCCTGTCTATATGCCATCAAGTGATGGGACCGGATGCCATGATCTTAGTTTTCTGAATGTTGAGCTTTAAGCCAACTTTTTCGGTCTCCTCTTTCACATTCATCAAGAGGCTCTTTAGTTCTTCTTCACTTTCTGCCATAAGGGTGGTGTCATCTGCATATCTGAGGTTATTGATATTTCTCCCAGCAATCTTGATTCTAGCTTGTGCTTCATCCAGCCCAGCGTTTCTCATATGTACTCTGCATATAAGTTAAATAAGCAGGGTGACAATATATAGCCTTGATGCACTCCTTTTCCTATTTGGAATCAGTCTGTTGTTCCATGTCCAGTTCTAACTGTTGCTTCCTGACCTGCATACAGATTTCTCAAGAAGCAGGTCAGGTGGTCTGGTATTCCCATCTCAGAATTTTCCACAGTTTGTTGTGATCCACACAGTCAAAGGCTTTGGCGTAGTCAATAAAGAAGAATTTGATGTTTTTCTGGAACTCTCTTGCTTTTTCGATGATCCAGCAGATGTTGGCAACTTGATCTCTGGTTCCTCTGCCTTTTCTAAAACCAACTTGAACACCTGGAAGTTCACGGTTCATGTATTGCAAGCCTGGCTTGGAGAATTTTGAGCATTACTTTGCTAGCGTGTGAGATGAGTGCAATTGTGCGGTAGTTTGAACATTCTTTGGCATTGCCTTTCTTTGGGATTGGAATGAAAACTGACCTTTCCCAGTCCTGCGGCCACTGCTGAGTTTTCCAAATTTGCTGGCCTATTGAGTGCAGCACTTTCACAGCATCATCTTTTAGGATTTGAAATAGCTCAACTGGAATTCCATCACCTCCACTAGCTTTGTTTGTAGTGCTTCCTAAGGCCCACTTGACTTCCAGGATGTCTGGCTCTAGGTGAGTGATCACACCATCGTGATTATCTGGGTCGTGAAGATCTTTCTTGTATCATTCTGTGTGTTTTTGCCACCTCTTCTTAGTATCTTCTGCTTCTGTTAGGTCCATACTATTTCTGTCCTTTATTGAGCTCATCTTTGCATGAGCTCATCTTTCCCTTGGTATCTCTCATTTTCTTGAAGAGATCTCTAGTCTTTCCATTCTGTTGTTTTCCTCTGTTTCTTTGCATTGATCACTGAGGAAGGCTTTCTTATCTCTCCTTGCTATTCTTTGGAACTCTGCATCCACATGGAGAATAGTCATAGTCAGTTATTATTTAAGGAGGGAATGGAGTCCAGAAGCACCTATACCTCTGCACCTCCAGGTGAGAAGTGTTTATATTTGGGATGGCACTTGTCTTCAGTCTCCAGACAGTGGTTGTCTCACTTGACTTTCTGCTCCCCTTCCCCTCACAATTTGAGAAGCAAATTGAAGTCATCTTCCCTCAGTAATTTCTTGGACTTGGGTAATTCAGCAGATCTTCCTTGGCACTTTAAGAAAGAACACGGTTCTGTTTCCCTATGAAGCACAGGCTTCTGCTTAAAAACTGGGGCTCAGGCTTTTCCACCAAAATGCCCCTTTGCGAGGAAGCCAGCTGATGCCTGTCCCCAGGAACAGCAGTGTAATGAAATCCCATTGTCACAGGTGGAAAATAGCCTTGTGCTCCATTTTTTTAATCTTAAAAAGTAAATTTGCATTTCATTCCATAATTTGTCCACATTTGTATCAACATAAACTTAAGGCACCTGTCAGTTGGATAACCTGACCTCTTCCTCTGTGTTCTAACTCAACAGGCTCATTTATTCATTTTTTAAAGTTTATGTATTTAATTTTTTGGCCATGCTGGGGCTTTGTTACTGCACATGGGCTTTCTCTAGTTGCAGGAAGCAGGGGCTGCTCGTTGTGGTGCACAGGCTTCTCATTGCAGTGGCTTCCCTCGTTGTGGAGGACAGGCTCTAGGCAGGGCCGAGGGCTTCCGTAGTTGTGGCTCATGGGCTTAGTTGCTCCGCAGCACATGGGATCTTCCCGGACCAGGGAGCAAACCAGTGTCCCTTGCTTTGCAAGGCAGATCCTTAATCACTGGACCACCAGGGAAGCCCCAGACTCATCTTGCTCGCATCATTTCTTTCTGTCCTCCCTTGCTGGGGGCATGAGGGCTGTGAGATGAACGGAGGATGTTCTGAAGTCCTTCCCCAAGATGAAAGCATTCACTCTTTGAGGAAGACGCGGTCGCCGATGCAGCGGAGCTCAGTGCCGCCCGCTCTTGTTCCTGACTCACTGCTGTTCACTCTCGCTGAGGAACAAGTCGGTCAGGAAGCTGCGCCGCAGCCATGGCCTTTAAAGACACCGCCAAGATTCCCGTGGAGCCAGAGGTGGCCATTCACCAGATTAGGATCACCCTCACCAGCCCCAACGTGAAGTCTCTGGAGAAGGTGTGTGCTGACCTCATCAGAAGCACGAAGGAAAAGAATCTCAAAGTGAAAGGACCAGTTCGGATGCCTACCAAGACTCAGAATAACTACAAGGAAAACTCCTTGTGGTGAAGGTTCTAAGACTTGGGATCGATTCCAAATGAGGATCCACAAACGACTCATTGACCTGCACAGCCCTTCTGAAATTGTCAAGCAGATCACTTCCATCAGTATTGAGCCAGGAGTCGAGGTGGAAGTCACCATTGCCGATGCCTAAATCAGCCTTTTTAATAAATCTATGATCAGTTGCTAAAAAAAAAAAAAAAAAAGATTAAAGCATTCAGACCTTAAACATCCTGTCTTAAAGGAGGAAGCTTTGACTGTCTGTAAACAGAACTTTGTACCCTCCTATCTTCCCCCTTTCCCTCCCTGTTTGTGTATCTTCTCCTCTTTGAGACACACCGGTTCCTCTGAACTCTGTCCTTGAAGCGTGGTGGCGCTTACCTAATTCTTTACCACAGCATCATGTATATTTCACCTAGAACTAGTTAGGCTTGGGAGACGAGGCAGGAAGGTAAGAGAAACCAGCAGAGACAGCAAAACCAAATCTGGTCAGAATAGCATGTACTTCCCCTGTGCAGTGGCTGAGAGTCCACTTCTGTAAAAACACTGATTATGAAAAAACCTTAATGGCTTGGTCACCTCTGGTTTTCAAACCCTCACATTATAAGTGCAGACTGTAGTGTGCAGATAACCAAAGGGGGGTGACTTGATGCTTAAACGATGATACCTAATTACAAGTGAATCTTTGATTCATTAAAGCAGGCCCCCAGGGATCTTTGCTTGTGGATGCTTGCAGTCAGAATTCTGGAACATATTTGAAAATAATAACTGCATCTTTTTTTTTCATACATTTTGTATGGTTTGGCTGACTTCCCCCTCAAAGTCTGAGTTAGAGTTTTCCTTAATTTGTGTGATGGGTTTTGGTCTCTTTGGATTCCAGTAAAAGCCCAAGTGTGGTTTGGAGCTACACACAGGGTTGTCACAAAATCGCAGCCTTTATAAAGTCCACAGGAAAGCCTTTGCTTGCCCTTTGGGCACATCCAGATTCTTAATATTTCTCGTCAGTTCTTCCTCTGTGTCCCTCAGGAGTCCACGATTCATAACCACTGAAATATTGAAATGCAGAATGGTTTGGAAAGGTGAAAGCCCAGATGCCCTGCTGCTTGAAAATGGGTCAAAATAGATTCATCATCATACATTTTGCCACGTCAGGATGTGGTAGAATTTTCCAAGAAAATTTTTATTTTAGCAAATTTTCAGAAATGCTGTCTTGACTGTTGGGGTCAGTGTTCAAGCCAGTATACCTTTGGAAGAATGAAAGCAAGACTGTAGGTGGAAAAAAAAAAAGAGTGTAGATGGGCCAGGGGTGGGAAGGGGGCATGACAGGGTGGGCACAGGAGATTCTAAAGCAGTCTCAGTTTCTGGGACCTTCTGGAGAAGGATTTCTGACCCATGGAAAGCAGGTTCTCGAGCAATGCAGAAGAACTGGACTTCTGTTTTTGTCACAAACTGATTTTGATATCTGTGTCTCCTGTGAAATAATCTTGAGTCTGATATGAGAACAAAACAAAGGAAACCCTCATAAATCCCTAATTTAAAAGTTCCAGGGAATAAAAATAACTTTAGAAGTGTTTATATATTTTAAAAAAATAATTTTATAAGACCCTGATGCTGGGAAAGATTGAAGGCAGGAGCAGAAGGGGCGACAGAGGATAAGATGGTTGGATGGCATCACTGACTTGATGGATATGAGTTTGAGCAAGCTCCAAGAGCTGGTGATGGACAGGGAAGCCTGACGTGCTGCAGTCTATGGGGTTGCAAAGAGTCGGAAACGGCTAAGTGACTGAGCTGATTCATCTTTGGCAGTGCTGGGTCTTTGTTGCTACATGTGGGCTTTTCTCTAGTGGCGGCGAGTGGGGCTAACTCTTCGCCGCAGTGCATGGGCTTTTCGTTGTGGTGGTTTCTCTTGTTGCAGAGCATGGGCTCTAGGCACACAGGCTCCAGTAATTGCGGTTCTTGGGCTTGAGAGCACAGGCTTAATAGTATTATGGCACAGGACTTAGTTGTTCCAAGGCATGTGAGATCTTCCTGGACCAGAGATTGAACCCATGTCTCCTGCATTGGATTCTTTACCTCTGAGCCACCAGGGAAGCCCAGAAGTATTTATATTTTGAGTGAGCTTTATTAAAGAATAAATACTAACTACTGGTCCTCTGTGTGTGCATGTGTGTGTGTGTGTTTTTTTTTTCCCCCAGCCTACCTTATGTGCAGTATTTTGGAGGTGTCTCTGCTCTAAGTAAACAACAGTTTCTCAGCATCAATGGATTTCCTAATAACTACTGGGGCTGGGGAGGTGAAGATGATGACATTTATAACAGGTAAGTGTCACAATTTAGATCTCATGCTTCCATCTCTCCCTTCACTTCTGGTTTTTCTATCCATGCTTGGTTATTTTGCAAGGATTGACCCTAAGGAGAGATGCAGTCCCCACCCAGCCTGAATTCTTAGGTGAGCCCTGCTGTAGATGCTCCAGGTGATAAAGAGTGTCTTAAGAGACAGACCATGAGAACCCTTAATGAAACTGGAAAGCATCTGAAAATAAGCATGTGTGTAACACTGATGTGCACTTGAAAGTTTTAATCTACCTGAATTAGAGACAAAAACAACAAAAAGACACAACCTGTACTCACTGCTGTATTTAAAATGGATAACCACTAAGGTCCTACTATACAGCACATGGACCTCTGCTCAATGTTATGTGGCAGCCTGGATGGGAGGGGAGTTTGGGGAAGAATGGATACATGTATATGTATGGCTGAGTCCCTTTCTTGTTCACCTGAAACTATCGCAACATTTTTAATCGGCTATACACCAATTTAAAAAAAAGTTTAAAAAAATTAAGAAGTATCTTTAGGAAAACTAGCTTCTGTGATTTTTGCCTTAGCCTTCTGGAAAATGTAAAATGAGAAACATGTGAAGGGGTGACTCACTAGATGGCCATGCACACCCTGGGGCTCTTCATGAGTTGGTAAAACTTTATTATGTGAGTTGTCATCGCAGATGGTAAAAAAAAAAAAACATCTGTCAGTGGCATTTGAAAGCACATTCTGCTTGGTCTTTCCTGGCAGTGGAATCTCCACCCCTGCTGGATGTAGGCAAAAAGCACCTTCTCCCTCTGGGAGCCAACCTGAACTTGCCACTCAGTTTGAAACCAGACTACACCCCGGTGCCTTCCTGAACTGGAGTACGTTAATTTGATCATTAACAGAAGATGTCTTTCAGAGCAGCATCCAAGTCGCTTAAGATTAGCTTTGCAGCATAGACCCAAGTCTTTAACACAGTCCTTGAAGAAAACTTGAATTTTAGAGATTGATTACCAATATGCAGAGCACTGGGCCAGGCAGGACCAGTGGGGAGGAAGACACTGAAGCCCTGAACAGGGAGTCCAGACAAAAACAGGCTTGCTTTCACAGCCCCGCACCCAGTCAGCTGGGCCCGTGTGACGGTGTACAGGCCTGAGGTGCTGCACAGACCTGAGTGATCAGAAAAGTCTCCAGGAGGGAGCCCCGCGGACAGAGTCCTGGGGGTGGGGGAACAGAACATCAGTGGCTGCAGAGGAGCTTTCTGTCCTTTCTTTAAAAAAAAGTATTTTTAAATTTTAAATTGAGGTTTATTTGATGTACAATGTATGTTTCAGATGTACAACAGAGTAATTCACAATTTTTAAAGGTTATATTCCATGTATAGTCATTATAAAGCTTTGGCTATAGTCCCGATGCTGCACAATATATCCTTGTGGCTTATTTATCTTATGGGAAGTGGACGTGTCAGTCACTCAGCCGTGTCCGACTCTTTGCGACCCCATGGACTATAGCCCTCCAGGCTCCTCTGTCCATGGAATTCTCCAGACAAGAATACTGGAGTGGGTAGCCATTCACTTTTTTCAGGGGATCTTCCAACCCAGGGATCAAACCTAGGTCTCCCGCATTGCAGGCAGATTCTTTACTATTTGAGCCACCAGGGAAGCCATATTTATCTTATACGTAGTGGTTTTTACTTCTTAAATCCTTATGCCTATCTTGCTCCTCCTCCTGGAGCAGCTTTCCTGAAAGGTAAAGAACCTAACTCTTATTCTGTACCAACTTGCTTTTGCTAGGCCCTAGCTCAGCACTGAGGGAGGCCAGGCTGGGAACCTTTAGGTCACCTAGGACCAGCCATTTCTGCCTCTCGGCTTAGTGTTGTATTCCTGCTGTCAAGACTTTGGTTGGTATTCCTCACCCCTTTCTCCTACAGAACCCACACAGAATCTTCCACTGTGATCTGGCTGCCTCTAGTCTTGTTCCCAGCTTTCCACTATTATACCGCCTAACAGAGAAACTTCCCATTGGCCAACTCTGTGTACAATGTTGGGAAACCCAGCATATAGTGAGCTCTCCATATCTGCAGATTCCACATCCCCACAGATTCAACGCACCTTCAATCGAAAATATTCAGGGGGAAAAAAAATTCCAGAAAATTCCAGAAAGCAAAACTTGAATTCGCTGTGCACCTGAGACTACTTCCATAACATTTATGTTGTATTTATAACTCAATATATCATTCACACTATATTAGGTATTATAAGTTATCTAGAGGTGATTTAAAGTATATGGGAAGATGAGGAAGTGTATAGGTTATATGGAAATGCTACACATTTTACATAAGGGACTTGAGCAACCACGGGGAAGGAGGTTGTCCAGGAACTGATCCCCTGGGGATACCGAGGGATGACTGTGTTATATCCCTTTCAGACATTGGCCCTATTCTGGGAGATGCTCTTGAGAAGGCCTCCATGATACAGTCTGTGCCCTTCTTTCCTGCTTCACCTCTGGCCACTTCCTACCCCAAACTTTGATGCTCCCAGAGGGAACTGTGCTTGCTCTCACCTCCCTGCCTTTGCCTGTGCTGTCCTGACTGCCCAAAATGCTCTGGCAAACTCCCACTCATCTTCAGGGCTTGGCTCTGCCCAGTCTCGATCGGGTGGGGTTGGTTGCTTCTCCCTCAGTGTCAGGCATCCCCACACCCACCTCCTCCCCTTCGTCCTGGCACCTATGACCCTACATCCTAAGCATCCACATCATAAATTCCACGAGGGCAGACACCCCCAGTGCCTGGCATAGGGTAGTCCCCCCACAAGGTCTAGAACCAGGGGTAAAAGGTTATGAGGAAGGGGTGTGAGTTTTAACTGCTGCCTGTACACTGGGCTGGGGTGTGGGTTGGTGAGACCAGCTGGCAGGATAGGATGGTGGACGGGACAAAAGTCTTGCAGCTGGGGCTGCGGGGCCTGGGTCTGTGGCAGCTCTGTGATGACCACTGTCCCTTTGCTCCTGACAGATTAGCTTTTAGAGGCATGTCTGTGTCTCGCCCAAATGCTGTGGTCGGAAAGTGTCGGATGATCCGCCACTCGAGAGACAAGAAAAATGAACCTAATCCTCAGAGGTGTGTTCTCTTTTATTCTCGCCCCTGTGTGTGTTTCCTTCTTCCACCTTCAGGTGGAGCTGCCTGCAGGAATGGGGCTCTGGAGTGGGCTCCGTGCCTCAGGAAAACGGGCTCCATCCACAGGGCAGGGCTGGAGTAGGAGGGAGGTGGTGGTAGTGGTGGTCTAGCCGCTCAGTCATGTCCGACTCCGCGACCCCACGGATTGCAGCCCACCAGGCTCCTCTGTCCATGGGATCTCCTGGGCGAGAATACTGGAGTGGGCTGCCACTTCTTTCTCCAGAGGATCTTCCCAAACCTGGGATTGAACCTGCATCTCCTACATTGGCAGGTAGATTCCTTACTGATGAGCCACCGGAGAAGCCTAGTAAGAGGGGAAAAGGGCCATTAAAGTACAAATGTTTAAAGTTTTGAGTTTTGTTTTTGCTTTCTTCTTTTTTTTTTTAAGATTTTTGTTTTGGCTTCAAACCCTTTGTCTGTTTGTTCCTTGTAGGTTTGACCGAATTGCACATACAAAGGAGACGATGCTCTCTGATGGTCTGAACTCACTCACCTACACGGTGTTAGAGGTCCAGAGGTACCCGTTGTATACCAAAATCACAGTGGACATCGGGACACCGAGCTAGCATTTTGGTGCACTGATCAGAGACCTGAAAATGGCCAGGGACCTCTGCTGTGTCTCTGCCGGTGTGCTGGGCTGGTCCCTCTCATTCTCCACATCAGTGACAGGCCCTCTCTGCTCATCATTCAGACGCCTTTCCGGACGACCAGGACGAGCGGGATATATTGCCCCAACTTGGCTCAGCATGTGACTTCTCAGCCCTATGAGGTGTATGTAAGCATAGAAACCATCAGCCTCTGAGGGCTCTTGGCATGTTCACAGTGTCACCCCAAAGAATCAGAGCTGTGCGCAGCTCCGAATCTGATGACTGTGGGACTCATCCCCAGCAAAAAAAAAAAACAAACACCTAATTTGTTGTGATATAGGTAAGAATTTTGTTTTAAATTGTGGTATTATTACTTTGTGAAAAATTGGAGAGTGCTGCTGAAATCGGATCAGTGTGGTGGTTTTCCATTGTCATGTTTTAACAGAAAAACACCTATTCTTATGTTAACCCCCCCCACCCTCGACCCTGTCTCCATGTATGCAACTATTACAATCACTGTGTATGTGTGTCTTTTCTTAGCAAAGGAATTTTAAGACTTGAGGCTTGAATCCCAAGGCCACTTTAGCCACCAGAGCAAAAGCCTTGGGCATTCTCACATTGGTGGCCTTTCTCCAGATGCCTGATTTCTGAATGTAAATCCTTTTTTTTTTAATAGCATTTGTAGTATTTTGAAGAAAGAAGAAATCAGATCCTCCTTATGGTCTAGCTTGATTTTGTGTTGATCCAGAATGGCATAGTGTTTAGTCATGGCAATTTATTTTTTTTTCTGAGCATGCTATATAAACTTGAATTTCCTATGTATTTTTATTGTGGTGTTTTACATGAGGGGATGGGGATTGAGCATTTTTTAGGGGAAAAAATAACGTATGCTGTAGTGGCCCCACATGGGCCTCGGTCGGAGCTGGCAGGCCAGGTTTTCTGAAGAGCCTAGACATCTCTGGGTCCTTCGGTGAGAGCTAAGGCGCCCCATGAGCACTGTCAAGCTGGACTCTGTAGGGGAGGCAGACATCGTGGCTTGCCTGGCAGAGTTCGCCACCTTGCCATCTCCCTGCCCTCCCCAGGTGGGCAAGGCCAGGGAACAACCCCCACCTCCTCAGACTGATCCCAGCACCTCCCTTGGGCCCCAGGCTGTGGAACTGGGAATGACAGCCACCAGATTGTTTACTGGCCCTCCATCTGCCCCTGGGGGCTGCCTGGCCCACCTTGCAGGACCGGTTCTCTCCTCCTCATCCTCCTGCCTCCCTTGTGCTGCCTTTCTCTTCCCTCCCCGCCCCTTTGTCCCACTGCCTCTTGCCTGTTTCCTAAAACTGGCCTGTGGCGCTCAGGGTCAAACGGACTATCCATTCTCCAGCATGAATGTGCCTTTTAATTAGAGAGCAGTTCAGCTGAACTCACCCATACTCCTCCCACAGCCACTCTGGTGCCGAAAGCTTCCCATCCCCGCTCAGGTTTTAGCAGGTGCTCCTACTCCGGGGAGGCCGACTCACAGCGGATGTCTTCCCCAAACCCACCTCTGCTGCTGGAGGTTTCAGCCTGCCTGGGGTGAGATGTACAAGGCAGTTCCTGCCGCTGGCACGAGTGCTGGGCCCAGGCTGGGCTGAGGGCTTAAAATTCAGCTTTCTAATCCCAGGGTTAACCTTTCAGCTAGGGGCAGCCTAGAAACCAGCCCTCAGTGTGGAGGCTGAACTGGTGCCTGGCCCCAGTCATACCTGTGCCTTTATCACTTGGAGCATCTCATGCTATTATCTGGTTCTTTTTCCAGAAACCTTTGTGTTGGTTACAAATTATTTTCCACTGTAGCTGGGCTGTGCAAAGAGTATTCCATCTGTCAGTTCCCCACTCCTTAATAGCAGTGTTGTTAAAGCCAGGAATAGCCCTGACAGGAAGCTTTGGGAAGCGCAAAGAATGAAGACCTCGCTTTCTCTCCCCAGATCCTGACTTTTCCAAAGTGCCTTAAAAGAAAGGAGACAAGTATCCTGGGTGGTAACCTTTTTGTTACTTTACTTTTAAAAACAAAACTCTGACTTTTTTTTTTTCTTTTTTTGTTTTCCTGTTACATTTTCTTTCATGTTCCATTGTAATGGTCAAGCCTGTGGTTCATTCTCAGGACCACCAGGAACGCTGCTTCACCACCCACTCACCGTTTGCTCATCTTCCGGTGGGCTCCTGGGGGTCCGCCTGGGCCCAGGGTTAAGCCTAGCCCTGGCCTGGGTCATCAGAGGCTGCAGCGCTCACTTCCTCCCTGGGGAGTTGATACTGAGGGTCCAGGAGCATTTCCTTCACCTGGAGGTTGTCACCGTGACATGGTCAGGTGCCCTTCTCTGTTTCTGTCCGTTCTGTTGCTGGTGAACCTCTAAGGTGGCCTTTGGGAAAGGTCAGAGGGCAGAGGTGGTGCAAGAGGGAAAAGGAAATGCTGGTGCTGCCCCCCAGGGTCTCTGCTGACCGGTGGGGGGGGCGGGCTGGAGGGAGGGGAGCCTTCCTGCCCTGGAGACCTGTGTGCTGTGTATTTTGATTTCCCATGTACACAAATGTATGTATTTACCATTGTAAGTGGGTGAATGTTTGACCTTGGTGTTCAAAACAGAACTGTATTTTTGCCTTTAAAATCCAGTAATATAACGTGAATAAATGACCCTATCTTTTTAACGGCAGGTGGTCTCTCTTCTGATGTAAGGGGTTAGGTTCCTCCGAAGCTGGCGGGCAGTGACGGGGGCTGCCTGCTGGGAGGGTCTGAGGAAAGCAGGGCTCCACCTCTGCCTGCCTCACTGTGTGGGGGGCGGGGCTGGGGGCTTGGGTGAGGGGAGGAGGTGTTATCTCACCTGCCTGGGATCACACGCACCTTGCTGGAATCAGCCATTTCCCCAGCTGAGTCTCATATGGATATGTGTAAAATGGGAATGGTAACACACACAGACTTTTTGAGGCTTAAAAGAGATGTGACTGAAATACAGCGACTGGCACCTCACAGATACTTACCACATAGTAGCTGGGGACCCTTCAGAGAAGAAGTTTCCCCAGCGGTTCTCTGGCTATGTTCTGTTTTCCACACAAGCCCGCATGCTCTCAGAGCCGTTTACACAAGGTGTTCACAGCGTAGCTTAGGTAAACAAGCTTTCTTCTCAGCCCCAGGAAGTTTAACCTGGTGCTACAAAAGGTCTCAGCTGCACCCTGAGGACTTGAGACAGTAAGTACCTTGGGCACCTCCTCCAAGGCCCCAGGTCAGGCACTGCACCCTCTGACATGTGGCTTTGATTGAATTGGCTTCTGGAAGAAATGGGCCACAGGAAACCAGTGTGCAGGAGAGGTCACCCCCACGCTGTCCAGGCTGAGGGGGCCACAGGCCCTGCTGGATGGAGCTGTGATGGTGGGACCGGCTGGGAAATAGAGCTGGAAGGACAGCCCCCTGAAGCCCCACCAGGGCCATCTGGCCATCTCCACCCATCCCTGTGACTGCTGGAAGGAGCCCTAGTAGCCTCAGGCTTGAGCAGTGGCTAGCACTCAGATCTGTCTTTCTGACCAGACTCCTTTGGACAGAGTGCTGCCTTACAGGGCTTTTCAAGCTATAAGGTCTGGGTTAAGTGGGGTACCCTCCCCTCTCCCAAAATGCATGGACACCACCAAGTACTTAGGAGAGGCCAGAATGCCTGTCTTCAGATCCTGTTGCTGCTTCTTCCCAGTTTCACGACCTTGAGTGAGTGATGCCTGTCTGTGCCTCAGTTTGTTCATCCGTGTAATGGGATAACAGTACTTCTTTCATAGCATTGCCAGGAAGATCAAGTGAATTAATTTTACAGAGCACTCAGACCATATCTAGCTCATAATAAGCATGCACATCACAAACATTTGTTAAATTTTAAAAGTGCAGTTACACATGCGTACCAGCGTATACATAGACTGATGTGTTCACGGTACCCACATATACACATGCACACACCAGCTATGCTGGGCGTCGTTTTTCCTCTTGTAGGGCGCATGTCTGGGACTTAACTGTGTGGCAGTTGGCTGAATGGATCTCAGGGTAAGTGACCACGCCTCTTCTGGAGACACCTGAGACCTCAGCAATGCTATTTCCCCACACCTTCCTGCCTGCCCTGAGGGAAGGTGTTAGGAATGGTGGCCTTGGCAAGGGAGGGGGGCTCAAATCCTGTATTGGTGGGCTGCAAGGCTCCAGGAAGATGGGAGGAAGAGGGTCAGGGCCAGACTCCTGGGGTAGCCACTTCTGGAGAAGTGCCCTTAGTCTTCCACTTCACCTGGGCCCCACACCACGTCTGAGCCAGGGCAGAGCCCAGTAGCCATGGATGTGGATTCGGTGGGTACCAGTCTTGCCCCCCATAGAGTACCTCTTTTCCGTGAGAGAATGTGACCTGGATGCCTAATCACTGACCCACAGATGTCCTTTGGAGGCAGGGCTGTGGTGCCCAAATGGCCGGGGTGCCCATGGAGGTGTATGAGTGAAACCTCCCCGGCAGGAGTGTTTGCTGCTGGTGATAGAGGGAAGCTGTGTGTGGGGAGGATTGGGGGGAGGTGGAGGAAATGAGAAGATGACCGAGTGCTAGGTGTTGCCAAGTCTCCACCACTCTCCTGAGCTCGCCTCCTGTTTATTCCAGGAGCTGGGAGTTTGGACATTCCTAGGGGCTGATTTCTTCTTAGAACTGGAACTTCTTACCCCATCAGAAAGGAAATGAGGTTTGCTAGCTGAGCCGGCTGTGTCAGATGAGCCCCATTTCCTCCCCTGGCATGGGCCCCAGGCAGAGAACGCGGCCGCTGCCTTCATTTGGGCTCCAGGACCTGTCCCCAGGCTGGGCAGCGGAGGAGCCAGCAGGGTGTGAATGTCAGGTGAAGTAATAGGATCAATGGACCAGAAAGCGGAGGACTGTGACATTCCCCAGATAGTGGCACTTGAGCAAGTTGTGTGCCAGGACACCAGGCGGGGGCCAGGAGGACGGCTGGAGGAAGCCACACACAGAGTGGTCCCTGTGTCTGGCCCTCTGCTTTCCCACTCTCTGGCTCACTCAATTCAAGTCCGTTCCCCTCCCTGAGCCTCAGGTTGCTCTCCTGTTTTATGAATCTACCCCTGGTCTCCCCATAGTTTTTCCCTCCCCGCAAGAAGGAAGCGCTGTGGTCTCAGGTATCCCCTTGTTCCTGAGACTCACCCTTCATGCTGCCTTGGAGGAAGTTATTTTATCTGAGTCTTCCTTTGTAAAAATAGCAGGATCACCCCTGCCTTCCCCTTCTTCTCCCAGGATACAGGTTTTTTGGGGTTTTTTTTCCTAAGATCTTTTGATGTGGACCATTTTTAAAGTCTTCGTTGAATTTGTTACTTCTGTGTTGCTTCTGTTTCATGTTTTAGTTTTCTGCCCAAGAGTAATGTAGGATCTTAGCTCCCTGACCAGGGATCGAACCCTCACCCCCTGCATTGGAAGGCGAAGTCTTAACCACTGACCACCAGGGAAGTCCCACAAGATATACTTTTAAAACTCTACCTGGAAATAGGAAAAAAAAAAAAAATTCTACCCGGGATTTCCCAGGCAGTCCAGTGGTTAAGAATCCACTTCTCAATGCAGGGGACAAGAGTTCGATCCCTGGTCAGGGAACTAAGATTCCATACACTGCAGGGCAACTAATCCCACACAGCAGAACTACTGAGCCCTTGTACTCAACTAAGATTTGACTCAGCCAAATAAAGAAATAAATGTTTTTTGGAAACTTTAAAAAACAAAACAAAAATTTCTACCTGGAGGAGCTGGAATGCTATTCCTTTTCTGTCTCCCTCTTCTGCCTGTAGCCCCTCCAACTTTGGACAGACTCCTGTCACCTGCGTCCCCTCGGGTTTTCCAGATTCAGGCTTCCTGATTATCCCGTCGGCCCGGAGGGAGAAGCACTGGAGCCTCTGTAGTAGCCGTGTTTACCCTGCCGTCACTCAAGAAAACCTAAGAGCCACTGTCAGTGGGGGCTGTGCTCAGGGAAATGAGGTGTGTCCAAAGAGGGTGGCCACTGAGCATGATGAAGTGGATCTGTACTTATTGACTGGAAAGAGGCCTGAGGGGAAAAGGCAAACTACAGAATGGGATCTCCATATAAGACGGGAAATGCCTGAATAATTTAGTGCCAAAATTATTCTGTGATTGTTGATGGGAGCAGATACACAAGCAATAAACGGGAAGATGATCTCTCTCTGTACTGCTTTTGTGGCCAGGCTCCCAGCCTAGGGTAACAGCCTTTGGTGTTTGGGGGCTGCCTGAGGGCCGAGGCCTTTAACAGGGACCAGCTCCATTGAGATAATGAGCTGGGTTGTCCCCAGGGGGAGTTGTTCAATTGTTCAGTCGTGTCTAGGGGCTTTGCAACCCCGTGGACTGCAGCACGCCAGGCTTCC